ACTCCTCAATACGACCCCCCAGGTGTGGCGTGCCGCACCCCACGCTTGACCCTGGTAAGGAATACCGTTTGATAGAGCAGAGAAAGCTCTACAAAATGGCATTCATAATATTGCGATGTTCGATCCACGGAAACTGCGAACTCAGAATCTAAAGATTTCCAAACTTCCAAAAAATCGAAAAAAAAATCAGATCTTCGTCCATATAATTTCTACTGACCTCCCATTTACACAAGTCAATGCCTTCGATATCAGACACTCATATGTGCAGCTGCTGTTTATCCCTGACTAGAAACAGAGAAAACGAAAATTTTTATAATTTTCTCAAAGCAAGATAAGCCGCTCTTGCTTATAGTTCTATACTACAAACCTAGTTAACGTAACTGTAGATTTTCAGCCTATTCCGAATGGTTTTGAGAAATGTCGATTTTAGTAATGAAATTGAAAAAAAGGGAACTGAATCCAATATTTCTCGAAAACTACCGCTCGGAATGGGCTGAAAATTCATAGTTATACTTACTAGGTTTGTAGTATAGAACCACATATGCAAGAACGGCTCATAATTACTTTGAGAAAATCGTGAAAAGTTTCGTTTTCTTTGTTTCTAGTCAAGGAAAAAAGACAGCAACTGCACTTGTGGGTGTCTGATATCGAAGGCATTGACGTGTGTAAGTGGGTGGTACGTAGAAATTAGTTGAACGGAGATCTAATTTTTTTTTCGATTTTTTGGGCATTTGGAAATCTTTGGATTTTGAATTCGAAGTTTCCGTGGATCGCACTCTGCGCAACATTATGAATGCCATCTTGTAGAGCTTGCTCTGCTCCATCAAACAGTATTCCTTACCCTTTGTTGGGTTGAGCCTGGTTGCTTTGTTAAAGCAAACAAATAAAAAACGACATTATTTTCTTGACAACCTAATACATATGGAAGTGTATTCGCGATACTTCCTGCACTTTTCCCTTGAACGAACAACATAACCTTCTTCTTTAACCTGTCTGTAACAAACCACAGACCAAAGTCGAGAACGTTGTCGAGAACATTCAGAGTTTTGTAATTTTTCATGAAGTAATGTCATGGGACTTCCTGTTACTCTATTTCTTTTCTCGAAAATATGATAAAAATTACACTTCTGTCCCCAACATTTAATTCCTTAAAAAAGAGTTAATAGTGCCGTGTTTAGCGCAAGAATGGAATTAGATAGGTTAAGCGTCAAATTTAATGTTTATACAAGATCAACTCTTCAAAACGTCTCTACCTCTAGATAATCGTGTTTTATCACAGTATCGTTTTTTTCTAGCCTTTCCAGCTCAGCTCGCGCCAAGTTGGAAACTATCTTCGAATATTTTTCTATCCACTTGATCTTGAACTCAGCAAGCTCTAGTCCGGCTTGATCGGCATCATCATATCTACCATTGCTCTTATGAGCCGATTCTATCTGTAATATGCTTCATGACAAATGCTACGAAGAGATTATAAAATAACTACAAAAATGTGTTTTTGCAACAGGAATATTGTTATGCTCTAAAATTGAAATTGCTTTTTATGTTCAAAAATTCCTGAGAAGCTGTTGTTATTCACACAGAAGCCAAACTAGCCGATACTTCTTTTTTACATGACCAATGAGCTCCATTACTCTTAAATAATGATTTTTACAACTTGGCAAACAAACTTACAAATACACAAGAGCATGTTTCGGCAAAAGTTAAGTTGCGGTAACTGTCCACTCCTATCCATGCAGGTACTTCTCTAATGTCACTTATGTCGAGTACGGAAGGAATACTTATTAGGTTGTCCGGAAATTAATGCAGGTCTTGAATTCCAACCGCAATAAGTCATACACTTCTCCTTTGTAAGTAGGTTGCAAAAACCATTTGATAGAATAAAGCAAGCTCTACAAAATGGCTATTCTGCTTTAGCAGCAGTTTGATCCACCACGAGTTTTGAGCCAAAAACTAAAAGGATACTACCTGAAAAATTGAGAAATATCTTAACTCAGTTCTTAAAAACCCTGCAAAAGTTCTAACTTGCTCACGTAAGCACAATCCACATAGGGCATCTATATACGCCATTGCCGTATTTTTTTCTCTGTTAGAAATCAAGAAAATGGGAATTTTCGTGCATTTGCCAAAATGGTGCTGTGCCGTCCCTACATAAGTAGCCGTATACTAAAAACCTGTAGAAGTACAAATGGGATTTTCAGCTCTCTACAAGCTTTAGTTCTCGAGAAATATCGAATGCAGTTTTTCTTAGTTATGTGGTCCAAGCTAAAATTCAAATTTCTTGAGAACTAAAACTAGAGAGCTGAAAATTCACGTTTGTACTTCTACAGGTGTAGTATACAACTACTTATGTGGGAGCGGCACAGCATCACTTTGGCAAATGCACGAAGATTTCCGTATTCTTGATTTCTGACGGAGAAAAAAATACGGCAACGGCGTATATAGTTGTCCTATGTGGGTTGTGTTCACGTGAGCAACTTAGAATTTTTGCAGGATCTTTAAGAAATGGGTTAAGATTTTTCTCAATTTTTCGGGCAGTTGAATCTTTTTAGTTCTTAGTTCGAAACTCGTGGTGGATCAAAGCTGTTGCTGAAAAAGAATAGCCATTTTGTAGAGCTTGTTTCGGTCTATCGAATGTTGTTTTGCAACCTACTTAGAAATGAGAAATGTATGACTTTTTGCGGTTGGAAGTCCAAACCTGCATTAATTTCCGGACAACCTAATATTATAATAATAGCGGGGTAAAGGTTTACGTTTTGTCTGTATGTGTAAATCTCTGTCTGTCACAAAGTTCGTAGAGCGAGTTCCAGCGAAGTTTTTGAGCTGGAATTTTGGTAGTAGCACCCTATCAGCATGTAGATAAAGTGTGCGAAAGGGCAAGCCGATTTGATGAGTACCTGTGGAAACTATGCGCCAAACGGATCCACGCGACTTTCGGTGCGTCAAAGTAGTTCTATAATTGAACCTTATCCTCAGTCGTGGATCTGTTTGACAAGCAAATTCGCAAACCACAGAATCTAGCTCGAAATGCGAGCAAAAACTACTATCACGCAAGATCGGCGCCAAAAAGGAACAACTGCGAAGATAATCGATTTGCAAGATTTTAACTAAGAATTTGAGCAAATTTTTGCTTAGACTCCATCATTACGGATAAATTGTAAGCAACTACTCATTCCAAAAGCTTTTTCAAGTAAGATCGGTGGTTTTGGGAGGAATGAAAGCTTCTCCAAAAGGATAAATGCGAGTTTGAATTAGTTACTGGAGTTATAATGGCTTGATAGTTCCCATATAGATGATGACAGCCCGTGAGTTACGTCCCTGAGACCCCCGCCAGAGTGCGGAAGCCACGCCAGCGCTGCGCCGGCGCCGAGCTGCCCCGGCGTTGTTTTGATCGATACACGTGCATTTCGTTGGGGCGGGGCTGGCTGACCTAGTTCCCAGCCAGGTAGATGCGTCGACTATTGATCGAATCTGCCAAAAGCTCCGGTAGCCCTTGCCCGCACATGGTCAGCTAGCCTCGTCCCGAGCAAATGGGACAGCTCGGCGCTGGCTCGGCGCCAGCGCAGCGCTAGCGTGGCTTCGTGGCGGGGGACTTACAAGGGAATGGTCAGAAATCGAAGTGGCCATTCCAGACAAGCTGCGTAGCGTTAGATGCAGCATGAAGCGCTGACTCTAAATCTGTCTTCTTTATCTGCTTATCGCTTTTCTGGACGAAATTATAAGCCATTAAAGACCATTATTTTGCTTAGAAATTATGCGTGAATTTGAAAATTTAGCCGTACAGAGCCTCGTTCGCCTCAATGCTGGGCCAAAACATGCTGCTAGCTTACTTTAAATTTTTGAAGCCAGAAGTTCGCTGTTTTTATGTATGATTTTTTCACAATAAAACCGCTTGTAGTTTCGTCCACAGAAGCGGGAAGCAGATAAGGAAGACAGATTCGAAGTCAGCGTTTTATACTGCATCGAATGATATACAGTTTGTTTGGTTTGGCCACTTCGACTTCTGACCATTCTCTTGTTAAGGACGTAACTTACAGGCTGTCGTCATCTATATGAAAACTATCAAACTATCATAACTCCAGTAACTGATTCAAACTCGCATTTATCCTTTTGGAGAATCTTTCATTCCTCCCTAAACCACCGATCATACTTGAAAAGCTCTTGGAATGAGTAGTTGCTTACAATTTATTCGTAATGATCGGCATAGCGTGGTAGGTTTCAAAGCCATCATTCTGCGAGTATAAGGATGGCATGTGGAGAAAAACCAGTGCGAATCTCTGCGAAGCAAAGGTGGCGCACTGGTACTTTTCATAAACTCGATCAGCCGCTGGGTTTGCGAACCCATTAGCTTCGTAAATACCGATCTCGTGGGTTAAGCTTACCCAGAGGGTTCGGAACTCACTGGGTTCGTTGATGAATGCGGCCACTGCTCGCATTTGACAATATATTACCTTGTCTTCGTGTTTGGGGTATTTATTGGCACACCACGCTGGGAGGCAGTGGCAATCTTGGGGATTTTGGAGGGGGAGGGAAGAAACCTTTTTTGGATGAAGGGGCAGCGTTGCCCTGAGTTTTTAACATGTCTTAGAATCGTACAAACTAACCATCAGAATTTCTTCACGAAAACGCACTTTGGACATGCAACTTCTGATAACATCAGACAAAACATTGTAATTCTCCGCAAACCTAAGTATACATTTTCGTCAAAATTCTGAAATGTTGCAAATTTGAGAAGTTTGAAATGTTCTGGGCAGAAGCAACTGATGTTCTTGAGAAAACAAAATCAGGCTCTGCTGAAATTCTCGGATTAAGATTTTCGTTAAAACATTTACTCAAAAATATGTTGAACTCTGCATTACGTTTTTAAAGTGCTTGCATTCATTACAATCCAGGATCGATTATATGGACTTTGCTAGAAAGCTCTATCACCCGAACATTTACGCATTGCATAAGTTCGAAACTGATTAATTTTTGAGCAGAACTCAAAATACATATTCCCACCTATCATGAATTGCTTTCCAATTTGAAATGCAAAACCGAAACAACAATTTATCTGAGAGTTGATTTTTTGCAACACTTCGAAATACATCTGCTATCTCCCTGTCATCGTATGCATTTTTCTTGTCTAGCACTTCTAGAAGTTTCCTGTAATTGGATTCTGTATTCGATTAAACTTCAAAATCAACAAAATAAAAATGTGACGTTTTTACAGACATACAGCGTTGGCCAAAACTATAGATCCACCATAAAAAACTGCCGTAGAGTTCATCTGCTTCTCGACGGATTAATCTGAGATTTGGTAAGCTGCGTGTTCAACAGGCTTCCATCGGAGCGGATCTCGCCTTCGTTAGACTATTTAGAAAAAAAATTAAAAATTTCGAAAGAAGCAGGCTCGAAGATTGGCCAAAACTAAAGATCCACCTCAAATTTCTGTCTGCTAAAGTAATTCTTGGCTTCCAAAGTCTTTCGTGCTTATACATAGTCGAAAGTCAAAGCAATGGCTTTGGTTCAGCTGTTCATACCTTTATGAGAAACGCTTATCTGCTTTTTTTTCACATAAAAAACACTTTCATGCGCATGTTGTCCGAGAATGTGTTTTGATAGAGGATCCCGCACTTTTTTTTGACTGGTCTGAAAGTGATGTGGCTATATCTTTCTTATAAATGCTTAGCATTGTGAGCAGTAGAAAAAAATTCGGGCTTCTGTATCCAAAGCGCATCCTGCATAGACCTAACCTGCTGGCCTGCGTTCAAATTTGTACCTTCAAACTTTTTTCGCAATGTTGTCATGAGCGTGAACTGGAGTAATGACACTGTTAGTATGTATAAAAGTCCACATGCAGAGGTTGCAGATTTCTGCAGATCCTGGTATGCAGGCTAATTGAGGACTTCATCCTGCAAATAGTGATTTGCAACAAGCCTTAAACTTATTTCTGGTTCTGACCATAATGCTTATTTGAGTCATAAGGCAACATAAAATGGAGGGCAAGCGTTAGGCGACAAAACGTGCAAATGCAATCAACGTAAAGCCCGTAAGTTAAAACTATTAGGTCGTTCCGAAAGTAATGTCGCTTTTTTCAATCGAAGGCCATATTTCACGGAATCATGATTTCCAAGAGCTCTTGGGATCATTCAATGCAGCATTTCGCCCTCTTTCTAATGGCTCTGATTTTATTGCATAGTATTCAATGAGCTCTTAATAAATCACCAAAACCTGCGACCCATGCTTTGTCATGCTCAAGTTCGGCTAATTTTCCAAATTTTTGTATTGATTTCCTGAAAATGTACAAGTAACAGATAAATAGTGCAGACCCTATAGGACACAAAACAATTTGTTGCTTTTCCTTAGCTTGCTTCTTTGTGTTTCTGGAGTTAATTTTTCAAGGCCATCAAAGTCCATATTTGGTCAACTCAAACCTCACAGAACAACAACCGTCAAGCAACTCGAGTGCCATTCGACGCAGCCTTTTCTCCTTTTTCTATTAGTTGTTTTTTGTTTCCGATTCGTCAGGTTTTCCGGGATAAAATCATCATAATGCAGGTTTTCCAGAGCGCCCGAGCTGTACCCGGATTTTTCTAATTGCTAATCTGAAGCGGCAAACACTCATTTGCTTTGTAAAATTAGTGTCAAACCATAATCCATCTTTGTAAGTTTTAAAATCCGAAGATTTATTGCTGTTTGATGCGTTTGTGTCTGAGACGAGCCTGCTGAAACTTGGTGGTTCCATCAAAAAATCAATACAAAAATTATGACGAGCTGTGTAAAGTAGAAAAAAGTTGTGCTGTTTCCTGTAGGGTTTGCTCTATCCATCCATTACTTGGACTCCTTCCGAGGGTTGTTATAAAAGCTTAGAAAAATTGTGAAACTTGACCTTCTTAAAAAGCATGGGTCGCAGGTTTTGGTAATTTTTCAAAAGCTCATTGAATATGATGCCACGATAGTATAACCATTAGAAGGAGAATAAAATGCTCCATCGAATACCTCCAAGATCTCTAAAAAACCTTTGTTCCATCAAATGTGGCGCCCGTTTGAAAAAAGCGACATTACTTTCGGAACGACCTAATATATGCAATTTTTTTGATGGCGTCGAGTAATGTATCAGCCCCGACCCCCCCCCCCCCCTCCCCTTTTGTTCTTGGCGGAGGATATTCTTTGCAAGGGAAGTTATTTGGGGTCCAAAAAACCGGGTTTGTCGTCTAACGCCCTACATCCCATACAATGCAGGGTGTACTCACTAGTTAGCAGCTAAATAGTGGCAAAAAAAAGGTACCACTTGGTAAGTACTTTGAGATTGCCGAACACACCGCAAGACTTATGCTTTGAAAAAGAAATAAACTGCGACATCGCAAACAATCATGACTATAGTTTACAAACTTCTTTTTATGGAATAATGCTAGATAATGCTTCTGCATTATTTTGAGCGTACAAAAATGGCGTACACCAATTTTGTAGGCAAAAATTCGAGCGCAGGCCTGCGGTCAGGTCTATGTCAGCTACGCTTTGAATACAAAAACTCGAATTTTTTTCTACTGCTCCACTGTTAAGCTATCTATAAGATAGATGGAACCCTATCATTTTCAAACCAGTCAGAAAAGTGCGAAATCCTCTATAAAAACACATTCTCGAACAAAATACACATAAAAGCATTTTTTAAATAAAAAAAAGATAAACGTCTCTTATAAAGGTATGACACAGCTGAACTAAAGCCACTGCTTCGACTTTCGACTATGTATATGTACAAAAGACTGTGGAAGCCAAACATTACTTTAGCAGACAGAAATTTCAGGTGGATCTATAGTTTTGGCTAACCTTTGAGCCTGCTTTTTTCATAATTTTTAATTTTTTTGGATAATCTAACGAATGCGGGATCCGCTCCGGTCACTGATGGGAGCCTGTTGAACACATAGCTGTACCAAATCTCGGATCGTTCCGTTGAGAAGTAGATGATTTACGGCAGTTTCTTATAGTGGATTTATAGTTTTGGCAAGCACAGTATAGGCTCATTGCCCTTTTTATGCCGAGCATGTTTGGCAAAGTTATTTTTCTGCTGTAAGAGGACTTTATGCATTTCAAAATTGTGGCAGGCAAGTATTGTCGGGAAAATGAATACAGATGAGTTTGACAAGGGTATAGCTACCTATTGCTAGTACAGTGGGCCCATAATAAGAACATGTGGAAGATTTCGGAAACTACACATTCATGCCGTGAGCGTAGCCAAAATGAAAACCGGTAATACATACATAGGGATGGGAGAAGCCCTTGAACACGATATTGTTATCGTAATGAGGAAGCTAGGCAAGATGATTACACCAAACCGATAAATAAACTTTACTCAACTGTCTGCTACATAAAATTGACTCCAAAATTCGCAGATTTTTCCTTTGACGCGAACGCAAGCTCGGGAACGCATAGCACTGTCCATAATGGCACGAAGGTACTCCAGGTCGACTTCCTCCCACACATTTTGAAAATCACGTCGCAGATACTCACAGACTTGCGTGGGTAAGCGCAGGTTTTAACCTGAAGTTCTGACCATAGATCAGGGTTGAGCGTGGAATCAGGCGCGCCTGACCTGGGGGGTCGTATTGGGGGTGGAACCGAGAACGGGGGGTCGTATTTGAGGGTAGGATCATAAATCTTCTAAAACTATATGAAATGCAGTACAGATCTTCCAGGCACTGGTGAAGAGCAAATCATCTCTCTTCATTATCGTTACTTTTATGTTCTTATTCTAGTTAAGGTGAGAAAATTACAAACATTGTTATTAAGTAAGAAACAGTAAATGAACTGATGGAAAATGATGCAAAGCCTTGCTCTATTTATGAGACTGCTCGCCAGCAGTCTGTAGCTTCGACTGTCAACGAGAGCTTGAAGGATTACTGGATAAACGCGAAGTATTTAGAAATGGAACTGGAAAGAGAAGACTGAGATAACATTGTTCTGACTGGACTTACCAAACCTACCGTACGCCTACCGTAACCCCACCAAAGGTCTCATACCAGCAAATGAATGCTACTTTTGTGATCAGCATGTAAAATAACACTTTGTGGACCCTATATATAATTTTCTATAACAATTTTTCATCTTCTCTAATGTTTGGAAGACGCTGTTTTCAAACATGATTAACTTGATTTCAACGATCAATAAAGTCAACCTTTTTACAGTTGTTGCAAAGCATTACTCTTCTTTAATATACCCTATCAATTTCGTTTCAAACCACCATAGAGTAATGGTTTTATAAGCCCCATCAGAACTTCGACAATGGCGCTTTTCACCTCGACTGGATTTACTGCGTGAGCTCCTAAAAAACTAAAACAAGTCGAATCTGCTTCACACATCTCGTGCCGCATTTACGAAGTTTGTGCCAACAAATCATATTAAATTTCTTCGAGAAAGTTGCTTTGGGATGAAGTTAATAGGGTCAGGCGCAACCCCTCAAAAGCTCAGGACGCCTGAGCTTTCGAGGGGTTGCGCCTGACCTCATTAACTTATCTTCAAACAGCTCAAAACTTTCCATTTTTTCACTCAAACTTTTAAATGGTCTCTCTCTTCCCACCGCCGAAATTTTATACGATTTCATCACCTCTCGAAAAATTATCAGCGGTTAATCCTAAACATGTGCCGAAGACGATTGGTCGTAAATCCTCCCTTATTTTCGTCCTACTGTAAGTACGCATCTTGTGCAAAGTTTCTGCACGGGAGAGGGACTGCGGCAAGCTCGATTTTTCAAGCGGTCGTTCCATTTCTTCGTCGTCACAGGAGGGCCGACTCCAGTGTGGAGTTTTACTTTACTTTCCTTTTTCTAGATGGAGACCGAAAGATTAGCCATACATTCGCACATTCTACTCGAGTGCTTTTTGTCCAGTTGCGTGAGGAAGTCAAATGGGTGAAATCGTCGAAAAGTTCGAATCATGTGCCGTAAGTTTGCTTTGTCTTTTACTTGGCTTCTTCCTGTTTTTTATCGTTTTCCTCAACCTGGGTTTTAAATTTTTCCTGCACAATTTGCTACCTTTTGGATCAACTGTCGCAATTTCTTATCAAGACTGCTGACTGTCTAGTAGCAATATGCAGAGAGGAGCTTGTGGTTGCTCGTCTTTCTGCCTTTCAAGCGACCTTTGCTGTTGATGTGCTAACCAAGGTATGCA